TACCAAATACCAAATTGCTAAAAGTAACTTACCGCAAGCCCAAAAAGCCTTGGCATTCCACTGAAATGGAAAGAAAAGAAAAGAAACGAATAGAGCGATTTAGAGTTTGGGTTATTATTGTGGGTGATTCCATCATTTCATTAGATACAACTCGATGTTCTCTCACATGCATTACCTGGAAATTGTTGGTTTTCTTGTCTGTGGCACCATTATCAATTTTCTCTAATTCCTTCATTTTGAATTCTTGTGTTTTTTGCTTGCTACCTTTTGAAACGATTGCTAACTAAGTATTACAGTAGACTAAATAGTTTCTATCTGTACCTAATGACAGATGACAGCTTTCCCAGCGATGCAGCAAAAAGCCTACTCGAAATTATTCAAATATATATTTATATATTCTCATTCTGTTGGTTTCATTTTCATGGTCCTTGAGCGTGTCTGTGCCTGGCATTCGATATATGCATGCATATCCTTGATAATTATTGCGACAAGTGCCACAATTGTCAATGATATTATCCGTTCGTTTAATTAAACAAAAATAAATGGCAAATATGTAAGTAAATATGTTATCAGCTGCCCTTCACTTGGCCCATGGCCTGACAATGCCACGGCCAGCTGCGGCATGGATTGGAGTTAATAATTGCCCCGTTCACTTTCACTCGTTTTGCAACACTTGCGCTCGAGTAGCTGGCGACTCATTTAAATAACAGTTAGTTTATTTGGCAATTGGATAGTCTCTCAAAGGAATCACATGAACATGAACTACTTATGATGACTAAGTGCAATTACCCAACACTGAAGGGTAACTGGTTCATGGAATCAACCAGCTGCCATGATCTCCAGAGCTGAGCGCTCCTCAAACTAATTAGTTCATTATAAAAGCAACAGGAAAAAATAAAACAACGGCTGGATAGCTCAGGAGCTCAACATCATCATCGTCTTCGTCATCGTCATCAACATGCTCATCATCATTATTATTGCCATGCTTAATATCCTGTGTCAACTATTGTCTGTTCCATTTGCATTTTTGCAATTATTTCAATTAAATCTACAAAAGAAACGTCTGGCCGCAGCCCCAAGGCAAAAGCAGTTGAACACAAAGTGGATGAGGGGGCGACGGTGACGGCGCGGCGGGAAAGCGGCTGTCCGGCTGCGTTTGGCGAATATAATTTCCTTGCGCCGGATGTGACAATGAATACGCATTAATAAGTACACACATACAAAAATTATAAATATACACTCACACACACACACACACAGGCAGACAGAGACACCTGCGCATGTGTGTGTGTGCTTTCCGGTGTGTAAATTGATACGCCCGTTCATTTATTCAACCGTTCAGCGACTCGCTTGACCCCTCACGCCCCTTTCTCTCACTCTCACTCGCTCCCACTCGCACTCCCTTGTGGACAGCCCAGACGTAACCGCACAGCGTGCGCTTCAATGAATGGCTGGCTAATTTTGTAGAGAGGCGCGCGCGTACGGCACGCGCTTTTAACAATATTAATATGCACAATAATATACCAATATACATACATACATATGTACATACATACATATAAATAAATGCAGTGACGGCACAGCGGGACAAATGAAGGATAAGGCCCGGCCGGCTGCCAGCAGCAAGACAAAAGGCGCAAAATGAAAGACGAAGCAAAGCAAATAAATTTCATTGTAGGCGGCTCGCGCGTGACATGGCAACATTGTCGTCGGCGTTGCCAGATGACAGCAGGCAGTCGTCCTCGTTGGCGGCGCCTCAAATTGGATTGTATGACAGACAGACAGCAGCACAGCGGTTTCTCAATTTGCCTGTACGTCTCTCTGTCTTATTGTTGTGCTTGAAGCCAACAGTGCTGCCAGAAATTAAAAAGCCAAATCTACAAGAAAAACAGCCAAAAATCGCTATCAATAAATATGCAATAAAACGCAAAAAAGTAAATCTATTTTAAACTAATTATTATTATTCAGCTATATTCTTGCTTCCTGCCTTTCACACATTGTTTCTTCGCGTAAGCCCGCCATGGTTATAAAAAAGCTAAAATGTCATCGCTTTTGCGCACTCATCAAGCAGCGACCGCATGTGCGTAATGTGATTATTTACATGCTGCCAGTGTTGCCATATATATTTGTTTGTAATTTATTTCTTCTCCGCCTGCATGCTGCCATGCTGCGCGTGCTGTAAAGATGAAATTATATGATTTGAATAATAATTGAATTAGAAAATCATAGTCAAAGCCCCACAACATGCGCCGCCTGCGGCGCAAACAAACAGACGCCACCATCAATGTAACAACGTGACGGCTCCCACAGGCCCACTCAAACCGCCAACGAATTATTGTCACATGCGCGCATTTACATGTACATCCATTGCTGCAGTTGCAGTTGCTGTTGGTGCTGAAGCAGTTGCTCCTGCAGTGGCTGCGGCTGTTGCTTTATGAACCTCAAGTCCTGGTTGCGTGCTAACATGCCATTCACATATATACATACATACATACATATACTCCGTTTTTAATTTCAAGTCCACACCCAACTGGCTAATTTAGCACATTTTGATGAACTAGTAGATGGCAGCACTGTATTGCAAGCGATCAGCTGATCGACATGCCGAAAAGTTCGCTTTAAAATTAATGATGCATTCGCTTGTCTTTTTCGTTGTCACACATCTAATTTGCGAAATTTAAATCGTGCAATTCATTTAAGCTCCAACAAGGCAAATGCGCTCTCGAATTTGCATGCCAAAAAGCAGCGCGATGTGTGTGTGTGTGTGAAGACACGAAGAAGAAGAAGAGAAGCGCAAAGCAGCTCGAAGCGACTGCCAAGTGCTGCGTCCTTATAACTTGGGCTCTAATGCGCACGACATTTGTCGCCTTCAAATGGTTAACAAGTTTCTGCAAACGGCGACAGACAGACATCATTTACTATGTGAGTATGTGCGTGCATGCATGTGTGTGCGTCTTGTAATCATGTGAATCCGTTTAAACTGTCGAAGTGTATTGTGCGTCATTATTCTCTTTCGTGCCATTAGACTTGAATAGTTTTTCCAATACCATAAAAAAAAGTGGAAAAAAACGACAAACTCTTATCATTTGTTGCTGCTGCAGTGCATGTGCATGCGAATGTGTGTGTGTGTGTGTTGCACAGACTGCTTCTGCCTCTGTCGGACGGCACTCAAAATGGCGTATGATCAAAATTCTGATTGGCGTGTGCTTAACCACAAAATACCAAAAAAAAAAAAATATACCACATGGCGGACTGCTCTTTGTCTGTGTCTATGATGGCTGCCGATTTGAATAGTTATAAAGCGCTAAAAAATGTCTAAGCCGCATAGGCAGCTTATGTGTGCCCATAATGGCACCCGAGCCAAAATACTAACTAAATACATATATATAAATTTTGCCAATGCAACTGCAACTTTGGCAACCCGCCTGCATTTGCCCCACTTCATCAACAATTTTCACCCCTTTTTGATTTTCATCAGTAATAAATACATTTTGAACTTTAAAGCTGCCGTTGCCACATTTTTGTTGGGTCTTAATTGCGGCCAATTTGGTAATTTTTGCTCTTGTTTTTGTTGCTCAATGGCAACAATGCGCTTAAATAAATCATTTTAAAAATTTTATATAGCCCCCGCATGACGTGTGCTATGCAAATTGCATTTTAAATACACAAACACATAATATATGTACTGTATATACTCTGTATATATGTGTGTATGTATGTGTGTGTTTGTGTATGTGGCTCATTACAAAGATCAATGGCAACACCCACACAAGCATAAATGATGCACGTAACAAATGCTCGACTGCCAGTAACCCTGTAAATTAATGTAGTATCTAGTGAAAATGTAATAAAATTATTATTTGTAAACTAAATTGTTTTGCCTAAGTAAGACAAAGAGCTAAAGGCCAAAAATATACAGAATAGAAGCTAAATTTCAGTTAAGCAGTCTTTAATACCCATCGTTTGGCCGTTGCCGCTGGAAATTTCAAATATGCAACATTTTTGTGTGCAGAGGCAACACAACAATTGGAATGTAAATTGTTGTTGCTTTTGGATAATAAGGGGGCCTACAAGAGGATGAAAACAACAACAACAACAACAACAACAACAACAATTGTACCAACAATTAAAACGCATTAAAAATTGCAAACGAATAATTCTATGCTCTGGGCAATTAATTATTTATAAAATTTCTATAACTGTTTGTAATACCTTGAAATTATTTTTGACAAAAGCTCAAAATATGTGTACATATTTCTGTTTGCACGATTTGCCTTTTTGGGTATTACGACCAGTTGGGGCCAGACTTCAAATCCTTTATGATCCTTTGTCATCGAGTTCTCTTTGGAATTAACAGTATTCAATTTGAACTTATTTACCAATTCAATAATCAATGAAACATTCTCAGCCTATCGTGGATGATTGCGGGTAAATTCAAAAAGTTCTTATATAAGGGCTAATAATAATTGATGGGATCTAGCTGATAATCCTTAACATTTGCCTGAAAATAGAGCAAACACTTATGGAAAACTAAAGTCTACAATATACCTCCCAAATACTTCCCACTTGCGGTACATTCCCCTCGATATACCACATATATTCGCTACATTCTTCACTAGCTACCAATAAATAGCCAATAGAAATATTTTTCTTTAGTTGTTTATTTTCATTCTCTGACTGAATTACACGATTTTGGAACGACTATAAATTTGGAATTTCCATGGAAATTCGCTCTAATGGGAATTAGCCAAAGTGCAGAATGGTATTTGCCATTTCTTTGATAGCGCCTCATGAGCTGTGAAAGACGAACAGTTAGACTCTACGCATTAAGATTTATATAGCAACAACTTACTTTTCTTATGCACTCACATCGGATTTCGTCTTCATCTTGCCAAAACGAATTGCAGTATAAGAATATTATATATGAATGTCGATGTATTTACTATTTAAACAGTTTGCCACATTTTGATGTAATATTTTAGTTTGCCATTGATTGTAATATTAAATGATTTGATGATACCTGTGCGCGTTCAGGGCGTTGTTAGAGGGAGCGTTTAGAATGGGGTCTATGGGATACTTACCTTATTTTGGTCACCCTGAAGCAAAGGTACGATAGTTTGCTTTCAGGGCGATCAAACTTTATACAAATTCAGAAAGTGAACACTAGAGAAATTGAATTATTGTATTTATGTGCATTCAAAGAATATATTCATGTGCCAAACTCACCTTTCAAACAAGGAAATACGTAATAGAACACTTAAAACTTCAGTTTTGGACGATTGTTAATTAACATAAAATTGAAAACCTATAAATTCACAATTAGCATCCGCGATGCCTGTAAAATAGTTGAATCACATTCTGTATTCCATCTACAGTATGTGCTCTCGTAAAGCAACTCACCATCGTGTTGCACACCCAATTCACAATGAATAACACATAAACAGTTGCTCAAATTAGAGTTTAAAACACATTACGAATTTTGCACTCGAGTTCCCAAAAAAAAAAAAAAAGAAACCGAAACTTTTATGTTTTACAAAACAAAACAAAAAATATACACAAAAAATTTTTATTTTTCCGACTGAAATTTGGAAATGTTGTTTACTCGAGGAGAGCCTAAACTGAAATGAAATATTTTACTACAAACGGAGCTTAGCTGCTCCAAATTTTCGTCTGATTTCAAAGCCTACTACACAAATGGGATTAGGAGAGGTTGTGAGGTGCGATTGATTGTAGACTCTAAGCACACTATATAGATGTATTTTATTCATGTACTCAAAATTGAACTACTCTAGAAACTAAATTCAAAGTTTCGTAGATGTAGATCTAAAGACGCAGGAGATATGCTCCAAGAACTGAAGCCCTCTAAGACCTTTTATCGATTTGAAGGCAAAATTATCGATTATATGTGAAAATTTTCGTCTTAATCAGCGACAATCAAGAGAGTGAGAAAGGGAGTAAGAGAATGATGGAGAGAGATAGACTCTATTAATTGTTTTGTATAGATTGCTGTTCTTGCTCATAGACAAGCTCCTAAGCGATGCGATTCCGTATTTAATTGAATTGAATTGCAATAATAATTCATGCTTTGATCGATATTAATATACGAATATCGGCCCCAACACAAAAGTGAGGCGTACTCCAATAATAATTAAGTGGGGCACACAAAATGTTGGTCAACTCGACTCCAATAGAAACGAGACCAATGCATGTTCATTCAATAGACAGCAAGTGCATCATTTGTTCGACATTTCCGACAGATGGATATACACATATAGATACACACACACACACATACACATAGATAATACTAAGCACATGATATGCCTATAGAAACAGAAACATTTAAGTTCGAAGCATTATGTTAAATACTTGGACCTTAACCATTTTGAGCGAGGCGAGCTTGAGACATTCACAGCTAAATAAGAAAGAATGAAAACCTATTAGAGGTAACAAAGTGGGATATGAGCTGTACTTCAAACAGACAGACGAAGTCAAGAGAAAAATAATTCCAGCAAAGATTTCCTTAGTTTTCTTATCCTTCGAGCTTCGTAGCGCAACAGTTGAAGCGTCCCTCGTTGACCAGAGAACAGGTCTGCTGCCTGCCGGCACCTCCTACTCCCCCACTGCAACCAGCTGCTGCCCCATTAGAGCCCTCTCGCTCGCACACTCGTTGTAGTTAAAGACAAAATTGTGCTGCATCGTTAGCCTAATTGCATTTTCCAGGCTGAAATAGCAACAAGACAAGTCAAGAAAGCCGAACGAAATGCTGGAGAAAGGACGCAAGGATATGAGGAGGAGGAGAAGGAGGAGGCGGAGTAGGAGGAAGAGAGCCACATGCGGTATGCTGCATGCGTGCATGCGTGCATGCAGTACGTATGTATATGTCATAGAGCTGTCCACAGGCGTCCTGACTGCGACTGCGACTGCGGGCTCCCCAAGTTCCCCCAAGTTCGGTCTGCCGGCGCTGCGTTGGCGTCTGGGCCACAGAGTTGCAGATTGCATTTTTTGGTTATTAAGTCTGTACGCCTCGGCTTCGCTCTATCCTCCATGTGATGTGGGAACGGGTATAATGCACTAGAAGCCAACTGCCGCCACATAAGCTATATATGAATGTCTATATTACTTATGCATTATCTTATCGATAAATATCGATTTCCTCCATGTGATGTGGGAACGGGTATAATGCACTAGAAGCCAACTGCCGCCACA